AGCAATGGGCACAGCAACTTAGGGGGGGGACAATAAAAAATTGACTTTTTTGAAAGTCTTTTATTTTGAAATTCCACATCAGATCTGGTTGCCACTTTCTGGTTCTGTTCTAGAGGTGTCCCTCTGTCACCCAGAAGTGGTAGCAGTCTTTGGAAACAGAGAGTTTCTCAGCAATGGGCACGGCAACCTATGGAGGGAAAATAAAAAATTGTCATTTTTGAAAGTCTTTTATTTTGAAATTACACATCAGATCTGGTTGCCACTTTCTGGTTCTGTTCTAGAGGTGTCCCTCTGTCACCCAGAAGTGGTAGCAGTGTTTGGAAACAGAGAGTTTCTCAGCAATGGGCACGGCAACCTATGGAGGGAAAATAAAAAATTGACATTTTTGAAAGTCTTTTAGTTTGAAATTACACATCAGATGTAGTTGCAAGCATAGATAGATAGATAGATAGATAGATAGATAGATAGATAGATAGATAGATAGATAGATAGATAGATAAGTTTTTATTTTATAATAGTTTTTCAGCATATATTATTTTCTGTTTGCAAATGCAGCGGCTGGAAAGCTATTTTGAGTAGGTCAAACATGGACCGGATTTGCGCTTTTATTGTGAAAGCAGCACGTAAATAGGTTTACCGTAATGTCTTGAGCCACCGCGCAATTGTAGATTGTGCGCTGGGCCGGCTGGAGTCAGAGCCGGCTAGCTTTACCGCGGTGATATACYTGTGTTCCTTAACGTGTAGCCACTCTGCATTAATTTTACTTTTATTGTATGGACCTTAACCGTGCCATTGATAAAATATCATACACCCTGTATGTATTTGGAATTTTTATTTCTGTATTTTCTTGTAGTTTATTTTCTAAGACCATGTAAAAGATAGATGCTTTCACCTCTCAAATCTGGTGTAACGTGAGCACTGCCACACAACTTAAAACAAAAATTTCTCCTCTAATATACACGTGAATCTTACAATACATGGCAGTCTTCCACGGATTTGATTGCCTTCCAAGGCCTCGATAATAAAATGATTTAATGGGCAGTTGTGAAATATTCCTACCAAAACGTCAAATTCATTTGGGATGTCAAGGTGGTAAAGACATTGCTTATTATAGCAAAAAATAAAAAATAAAACATAACTGCTTTAGTGAAGGTGATTACTGTTCAATAATACAGTAATGCCACCACACTAAAGTACCCTAAGAAAATTTAAATACAATAAGACACACATAATGAAAARAAAAAGAAGGAACTGGATCTGTTTTTTAATTATTATTATTATTTAGTTCAAGGAGTGACAGTCCTGTCAAGTATAATAATCTTGATTCCCATTCCCAGTTGTGGAAGACAACCWTTTCCAGGAGTGTTTTTATTTTCATCCTCCTAAAAAGCTCAAACTCTGATCAAGAAATCAGTAACATTCACAACAGTTTGTCTTCTTCGAGATAAGATTTATCGTATATCTCTGTCTTTCTAAGACTTTCAGTGGTTTCTATGCAAGACCTTCAATAAAATAATATTCTCTGCTGCTAAATGTAACAAAAGACATGATTCACAGCAAAAGCACAGACACAAAGGACAGGCAACACAAAAATACAGAATGTACACACTGGGGTGTAGTGTCTCTTAGAGCTACTGGCAGCTGTTTACATCAGGGGCAAATAACTCTTCTCCTTTAAAATAAAGACACACAAGAGCTCTGAGTGTTGGAAGTATTTGAATAAAAACACTACACCTTTGGAGGAAGGAGTGTTCATCAGTGCTATGTAACAACACCCTCTGGAGGAGTAACCATACAAGTACATTGAGTATATATATATATATTTGGCCTGATCTGATTTAAATGTTCCTGTTTCACTGTTTTTAATGTACAAGAAACAAATTAAAACATTGCATGAGAATGTATACGTAAAAGAAWAAAAGGAGACCAACATGAACGCATTCAAGGCTACTGTTCCCTTACAAGTTCTGCAATGTACCAACCTTCAATTAAACTGAAAATTTTGTTTTAAGATCAGCTCTTGAAATGATGGATGTTGTTTTACGTGGTCCTTTGAAAGTAGGAGTGTTGTAGGAAAAAAAAAGAAATCACCACTCTGCCTTGCTTCTACCTGTAACATTTGAGAGGAAGGGGAGGGGCTGTTGTGAGGTGGGACTAATAAAAGGACTGATTTCTTCTTTTTTTTTTGGTGAGGAAATGCTTGTAGGATTGGAGAGCCACTGCCTTCCCTTTTTATGCCTGGAACTCAAGACCAAGACCGAGCTTGTGGCCACCAGAGTTGATATTTTTGCCATCAAGTAGMGCAGAAAGTGTCAGCTTGATGCCTGCAAAACACAACATTTATATATTATTTTCTACTTAAAGAAATTTTACAAATGATGACTAATCTTGATGTCATTGAACTTCTAAGAATACAAACTCAGTAAGACTTGAAATTATCCTTGATCATTAAAACATGTATATAACATAACATATACTGTATGTGTCTATTTCAATAACTAACTGACTGCACCCACCTGGCTTCAGGGTCTGAGTGTAGCCAAGACCCACGAGGCTGGAGTTGTTCACCTTGGCCTGTGTACAACAMATAGTTTGAAGCAAAACATTTAAACATTCAATAATCACTTAAATAACTTCTGTTTAATCACTTAGGATTTTCTTTTAGATGAATGTGTTTGTCTGTGTCTCTATCCTGTCCCTCAACCAGCCGGTTGAAGCAGATACTGAGCCTGGTTCTGCTGGAGGTTTCTTCCTGATTAGCAGGGAGTTTTTCCTCTCCACTGTTTGCTCAGGATGGGAGACTGTGATGAAGTGATTCAACACAATCTGCTGGTTTCTTCTTTAGATTGTTCTTTTTTATATACAGTGCCCTGTGACAATGTATGTTGTGACTTGGTGCTATATAAATAAAATAAACTTGAACTTGAATGAGAATCTACACCAACGTATGAAGAATGAGTTGAACATGGATAAAATATTGAAGAACTACATCTGCTTAGACACCATTTTCCAAGATTTACTAAAACAAATATACATGTATTAAACCTCCTTAATTGTTAAAGAATAATTTAAATGCAATAATAGCTTAAAGTCTGTCATAGCTCAAAACCAACTTAAAATTAAAACACCTGTCAGTTCAAATAAATATAGCCTAAATAACCTAAGTTAACAACCGAGCACACTAATTGGCTCGGCTGCAAGGGGGATTTACGACTAATGTGATAGACAGGACTGAATTAGAAGAAGACTTTCTACAGCAGACACTCATCCTGTTGAATATTTTTGTTTGAATGGGTTTCAAGAGAAACATGGTGTATACACATACATGGACTTACAGCTATGGATCATTTGTCAGATTAAAGAAAACATATTTTAGGAGGGGGGCGAGGGTCCGTACAATACCMTTGATTTTAAAGTGAGGCATTTAATCCTCACTTTAACTTTAAAAATGAAAGTTACTCACAGAGAAAGAYGCATCCGAATCAATCTGGTATTTGGCAGCGATGCCAAAGCGGGTGTTGCTGTTCCCAGCAGTCCAGGCCAGATTGACAGCTGTTTCCAGCTTGTCGTTCACCTTCTGGTAGATGGAACCACCGAACTCTGTGCCATCATTTCTGGGGAAATAACAATTTGATAAATTTTATAGAAATGTAATACAAATATTTCCTTATTTAGATCCTGTTTCTATTTAAAAAAGGGGCAACTAAAACTTCTGACAAGGAAAACTCATTTGGATTTCACGTGTCTGAGAGTTGACCTCACAACAATCAGTAACAGTGAACCCACCTGAGATGCACTGTTACTGATGAAAAGCCCACATTAACCTTTGTCTGACCCCGCATTACCGCTTCAGCTGCAGACTGAAACTGACAGGATTTGTCAGGGGGCACAGCAGGAACAAGCCCTGTCCCTCACGCTCACTGTCTGACACGATTTCCTTCTGTGTTCYCACTCCAGCTCTCTTTAGTAATACAAMYTTTCACTTGAGTAAAAATTAACCAACTGACTTCTAACAAAAAGCTGAACAGCCAACAACAAAACAATTCATTTAGGAGCAGTTCTACAGGTGTAGATATGTCTACATACATTTGGTCATGCAATCAAATGCATGTAGTGTGGTTGTATAGTGATCTACCATCACCAATGTTTGAGTTAGTCCCTTAAAATGGCCGCCGCTTAGTTGGAGAGGCCATCTGGAGACAGACCGAGGTTTCTCTGCAGTTTAAATTATTGCATCTCTGTTCTCCAATAATTATCACAAGATGCGTTATTTATAGTCCAGTATAATTACAGTTAATGGTTTTGTAATTTGAGAAGAATCAATATTAGAGCTACAATTAATTGGAAACCGTTTAAAAGACGGTAGAACAGCATGTTCATTTGCTGCTTCATGTAGACTTACACATTTGTATGGAGCTGGAACTCATCAGTCATGTATCCAACAGCAAAGTTGCTYTGAGTGACTTTGTTCCTGCCAGCCTCAAAGGTCGTCTGATAGCCAGCGAGCCAGCCTTCGAAGCCCACCACGCCGGCACCGTGGATAGCTGTGCCGTTGATGTCGTAGTTAACGTCACAGCCGAGGTTGATGTGCTCACATTTGTAGCCTGTCTTGATCTTGCCACCTTTCTTGCTGGCAGTATGTGTCACAGAAATAAAAATCAATTATTGACAATATACAGCTACACTAAACTTTAGTGGCAATAAAAAAAAGTGTAGTTTAATAAGAACAAAGCCACCCAGTTACCAGCAGTAAATTTTCTGAAGCTATGAAAAAAAATTATTACCCAGTGTTTGGGGAGAAGGATGACTCAAATGTAAGCTTAAGACCTTTAGTCAACTGTGGAAAAACAGAAAAGCATTACAACAGAGGACATAATTTTTCTTTAAAAAGTAAATATTAATTACATTCTCTTCCAACATATTTTAATATGACTCCTCACACCACATCACCTGGTCCTCAATGGTGATCTCTGTCCCCAGGGTGTTTTCAGTGTTCCACTTCTCTGTAAAGGTCAGTCCATGCTCCATCCACTTGTATTTGGTCTCCAACGACCCACCAACTTTACTGGTCTCAGTATTGGCAGAACATGCGCTGGTGAACTCCTGCAGATGATTATAACCCATCAGTCATACAAAAACTTCTAAGAACCGAGTATTTACTCAGGAGAGAACGCTCTAATATTGAGGCGCTGCACCAGTGCATTTCAAAAATCTTCTTAAATGTGTATGCATCAACAGAGGTGCCAACCTGGAGCCATCCATCATAATGATTGTCTCAGAGCATTTGTGCCGTGCGTTCGTTGGTATTCATACAAACCTACTTATTTCTAGATGGAGAGATTATAAGTAACAAGTGATAAAACAGATTTTATAAAATGGGTGCTTTATGAACATAACTTTGCTAAACAGTACATACATCTATCCTATTAGTGGGTCTCCTTTATTCATTCACCCTTCTATAATCAGACTCAACAGCTGAAGATGAATTTGTAGTCACAGGGAATTCTTGTCACAATATTTAAACTGAATAAGGAGGAAACTATATTTGTCTTTTAAAAATAAAAACAGATGAAWAGTCTTTTCCATTACTGAGTCCGGCTMCTCTCGGCTCAGTTCGGAGGGGTAACGTCTTTTAAATGTAGCTGCTGTATATATTGTCTGACTTTTATTTTGTGCAGTAAAGATACAATCTGCTGTTTKTTTTTCATTGAGTTAAATTCATAAGTAAAAAAAAACATATTTACTCACACTCCGAGTCATAAAGTGTACAGTAGCTGTAATTTCATGTATTAGAAAATCATTTTGGTTTTGTATTACTGCATTTATAAGCAACGGTTTGCTGTAGCAGGGTATTTAGTCTGTAAATAATAATCATACCCTGCTACAGCAAACCGTTGCTTATATTGACTCTGAACAGAAAACCAACGATTAGCCTCRAATACGGTCAAAATTAATTACTATTTACAATAAATGTAGAGCTTGGGCTGTTGTTTTTAGCCTGGATCGCTAACTAGCGATAGCCGCTAACTAGTTAGCATCAGAAACGAACACGCACAAAGGACACATCGGAACAAACTTTATAAAAAGGTAGTTTCACAAGCGAGACGTGTCTTATAAATTATGTTCAATATCTCACTAAATGCACGAAGCCCTCACCGTCTGCAGATGAAGTTTCTGAAGAGACCAGTCTACAGTAGCAGCAGCTAGCTAACTAACTAACTAACCGGTGGCTGTAAAGAGCGATCCCCTCCATTTACCCACAGCAGCTGTAGTCCCACGGCATTGAGCCACTCCCACTGTTGTTGTGGTCCTTCACTGCTCTGAAATGGGCCCAATATATTTTTAGCTTCTCCCAGCGCTCCGCCATCATTTGGAACTACGTGATCCAGGCAGCTTCACTGGCCAATCATGACTGCTACATGCTTCGGCACCTCCATGCCCCAAACTGTGCCGGCCTCAGTACTACCTCGAGAGGAGGTCCAAAAAAGTGGGCAGAGTGCGGCCAGGAGTCACAGTGGAAAGACCGATAACGGGTGCGGAGTGGGGTGGAGCCAAACCGAACCGCGTAGGTGGAAAAATGCTGCTGCAGCGGGAGGCAGTTCCCAAGAGCTCGGCGCAAGGCCAGATCGTTATAAATGTCTAGTACGCCGTAATGGTTCAGAGCGGGTCTCAATATCGTAATGATTACAATGAGATCGTAATGGTTGGCACCTCTGCATCAATTCAAACACTTTGTGTTGCTCAGAAAACAAGGTGTTTCACTGTCAACCAGGACCTCCTTAAGCGAAGACGGGACTCCTGCAGTCTGGGCTGGCAGCACTGATAATCTGATAATGAATGGTGACAACTTACCAGTCCATTGTCAGACTTTGTCTTTAAGTCTAACTTGATGACCCCAAATCCTGAAAAAAGGAAGGAAAATGAATACAAGTCAGTATACAAGGACAGCCGTGAAAATGACTTTTTTAGGTTTATTTACCTTTTAATCTGAGTAATTTCACATTAACCCTGCATGACTATACTTGACAGCTATTTAGAGATTATGACGTTATTGCTTTCAATAAGCACACCAGAGCTCAGGTTGAAATGTCCTGTGGTTTCCACTTAATCCTGAGCCTAAACATGTGGCAACAAACTAAGGACACATGCTATTTTATAATTCAGACTTGGTGTTGCATAAAAAAATCCAAACTGCTGAAAGGTGTGGAAAATCCCCAGATATTTATTGAACATTGGTGTTTAACCACCGGGGCACAGCTGTGTACAAAAAGACCAGTTGTGGCCAAATCTTTTAAATAACCTTGATTGATTTACAGCACAAGTAGAGAAAGGTTACTGTAGTAAGCAGGGTCAAACATGTTCAATATTTCTGTTAAAGGGATCCCCAATTAGTTGTAACATTAGACTTCATTTGATAAACATATATTTTAATTGTAAAATAAAGACTAAAAATACTGTAGGCTGTTTAGTTTTTATCATTTTTAAACTAAACGTTTTAAAATATATTACATGGACGGGGCCATTTTATTTACAAGCAAAGCATTCAGGGTAAATGATGACATGGATAGGCATCGGTGCGAGGCTGCTAGCGAGCTACATCCACCCTGAAGGTTAATCTTGGACAATATCTGATGATCGACTCTTTTAAATGAAACCAGAGAGCGTTGACAGAGAGGAGAAGGTAGAAATGACTCAGCCTGGAACTGAAAATATGGATGGAGGACAACAGAGTTGCTTCATGGAAGAACATCAGCTTAAGCCTGTTAGCCTTTGTGCTAGCACCGACACTATATTGCCTTATATGTATTAGCTCAGCGCTACACATTCTCCTCTCATCACTGAGGTCCTCCATCCACATGACAGAGAGGGGAACACAAAAATGACTCAACCTGTAACTGAAAATATGGATGGAGGACCTCAGTTTAGTCACGCTATCACTGAGCTAATACATATAAGGTAAAATAGCATCAGCGCTTGCGCAAAGGCTAACAGGTTAAGCTGAGGTTCTTCTTCCATGAAGCAGCTCTGTTGTCCTCCATCCATATTTTCAGTTCCAGGCTGAGTCATTTCTACCTTCTCCTCTCTGTCAACGCTCTCTGGTTTCATTTAAAAGAGTCGATCATCAGATATTGTCCAAGATTAACCTTCAGGGTGGATATAGCTCGCTAGCAGCCTCGCACCGATGACCTATCCACGTCATCATTTACCCAGAATGCTTTGTGTGTAAATAAAATGGCTCCGTCCGTGTTAAAATATATTTTAAAAAATTTACAAAATTAAACAGCCTACAGTATTTTTAGTTTTTATTTTACAGTTAAAATAAATGTTTATAAAATAAAGTCTAATGTTACAACTAATCGTGGATCCCTTTAAGATTATATAAAAATTGAACTGTGAAGACTGAGCAACCAAGAGAATAAACAGCAACTCTTATAAATGAACAAAAACCACTTAATAAAGATTTTAACTTACAAAACTTTGTGTTTCTATAAATAAAGCTGGGACTTGGGGATTAGTCGCTTCTTTTTAAACAATCTTCACCATTTAAGCAAYAATCAGCCTAATACAGAACTGCATCCATAGCACATTTTAAGCAAAACGYTCTTTAATTTGTCTATTTACTTGAGTTTTTCTAACAGCGTTGCCCTATTATCATAAATCAGTTTTCTATAAACTAATACCACTTCAAATTGACAGAAATAACTAAGTGTGACAGGCGTCTTTGYGCTTACCATATCCCTTTGTAAAAACATCCCTGGCTGACTTTCCAAGGTCAGCATAGGTGGGAGGTACAGCCATTATCTGTAAAAAGGGGGGGAAGGGGGGGGGGGGGTTCTTTTAGTTCAAACTTTTGTCTTAAACCAGCACAAAGGTGGGCAACTGAACAGACTAAGCATCATGTTTCCAAAACAAAAAAAAATGTCAAGAGCATATGAGGGTCATCGACTGACTGGAAAAGTTTTTTTTTTTAAGTTTTAACTATACAGACTTTATTCTTTTTTAGTGGGTAATTTACTTTTCAAAAATGTTTGCCTTGGATATTATGAATATTTTAAGCAAGTATGTCCACTTCATTTTAAACTATTTTGCATTAAAAAAAAMCACTTTATTTTTTCCCTGAAGCTCGTGTTTCAAAAGGAAAGCAGCCAAGTCCAGAATGGACAATGTGTCGCGGCTTGAAGCACAAAGCAAGCTCTTTGCTAATCTACTGAACCGCCTGCTATCATTTACGAGAGCAACTATTTGTCTTTTATTTTCATGAACACACAGTTACACAAGGCATTTCATCATCTGAATTTATAAAAGCACAACAGTAAGTACAGGACCAGCTGTTGCGCAGGGGTATTGATAACAAACATGTTAATATTGAGAGAAGATAATGTGTTTAAAGACTATGCAGAAATTCTTGAATTCTTTGTGTCATTGCAATTGCTTATGTAGTTCAAGGCAAAATCCACACCAACCCTGAAAASAGGATCAAATTAAACTGCAAGTGAATGATTCTGAATCTGAAATGTTATAAGCCAAATTTAGTTGTGAGCCTGTTCAATGGACTAAATTAACTAAAATCCTACATTTTAATTCAGCTGGATCATGACTATTTGACAAAAATAATTAAGTACATAAAAAAACTTTTAATAGACCTTTAGAGCTTAAAACAGTCATCTCCAAACTTTTGGCTTATGATGTCTGAAAAGTAATGTCACTCAGACACTTGCCCAACTACACATATTTGTCCTTGAATAAACAACTCTGTGTATTTATGTTAAGTCAACTACAATAATAGTCACTTAACCGGGATGCCAAGGTGTTTGAAATAAGACTATGTAAAAAGAGCAAAAGCTATTGGTCACAGCAAGTTCTTACTTTGATATTCCAAGTTATGTTTTGACATAATTGAGGATCTTCAGAATAGAAAAATGACTACATCTTGTATCTAGCTCATTGCAACACCATGCTGTGTTTGACTTGTCTGTGTGCAGTTTTATATTTCCTCTCAAAGTCTAACTACACAAAGTGAATGCCAAATCACATACGAGACCTTCAGACAGCTCTATAAAATGAGTCACCACGGCTATATTGATGACATGACAAAATCAGGAAGCATTTACTACAGCATTTACATTCCGTGACTTCTTACAAATGGATTGCTCATCATTAGRCTGCAACACACCCTCTTGCTTGGTTTCCTCACAGGCAGAAATGTTAAAGGACGTGCTAAAGGACGTGGAACTAAGCGTCAAATTAACAGCTGAGGARTCCAGTTACGATTTCTGTTTGAAATGTACATTTATATGCATCGCATAATAACTTTGAAGGCGTCAAMCTGCAAGAAGACGAACTTATCTAAGCATTTATTTTATATATTTTAACAGTCCTTCTGCGCCGCTTCAAAGTTAACATTTACAAGAAAAAATAAACTAAAGCAAAAGGAAAGAAGCAGAAAAACACTGCTGTAATTTTACAGACTACTGACTGACGCCTGACTCGTGATGAAAAGGTTACTGAGCCAGCATCTTCATGCCCTCGCGTTGCTAACAAATTAGCATTAGCTTGGTGTCAAGGTGGCAAGGAGATAAGTGATTCTTATAAGCAATATAAAGGCAGCTTATGAAGCAGGAAAGTCGTGACTTGTCAAAAGCGACGAAAAATGTGAACTTCTTGATCACTATCAGCTTGCACAAGAGCCGACTACTTTCCAATTCAAATGACCGCAGCGACAGATATTAGCTAACCAGCTAGCAGCAGATGGCATGTATGAAAGTAGCAGGCCCAGCATCTTTGCTGCATTTCCATCCTTTTTCTGTTAAAACGGGCAGAAAAAACGAAATCTGTATTCAGAATTCACCTATAATCATAACTGAGCAGTGAAATCAAGTTTAGATGTGTTGTATTCCACTATAAAGATACCAAACGCACCTGTCTATGTGTGTWTCCCAGTCGTAGCCGAGGAGTAGCCTGTAAAAATGCACAAAAGGAGGAGAGGAAGGAGATGGGGCGGAGTCACGCAAGTTACATACGTGCATGTATGGCAAGCCAAATTATCATGTATTAGTTGGACGGGCTCTCAAAACCTCATTTCCATAAATCTATTTCTTTTTTTTTTTTTTTTTTTT